CAGATGACGCAAGTTTACAAATGTTTGTACCCCAGCTGAGATTTCCTCAGCAACCAGGCTATTCGGGTTCATGCAACTCTCCAAGTAAGTGAACTGGTCGACATGCTCCACTACTTGACTGCCTATCACTGAATTGGTTTTTACAGATCAGTCCTGCCGCATCATCTCACGTTTGACAGGTGAGAAATGCGAGCTAGCCAAACGTACTGAGATTTTCGCTCATCGTGTTCACAAGACCCTGAATTTAGTCAGCATCTTCACCTAGTAGGGCACTATCGTCTCTATACTCCAAGACAATCAGATACCATCCGGTTAGTAGATCAATCCCTGTTAAGTCATAGGTAACTAAGGTTATGTCCATCAGTGCATCTAAAACGGAAGTAAACAGGAATGGAGACAACAAAGATCCTTGCCGGACACCAGTTTTTGCCAATCCGGGTAAAAAACCTACATAATCGTACACACAGCTTCGTGGATTCGAGTAGAGAGCGCTGACCAGCATGTATTGACTCAGTAGTCGTTTCACAGTCAGGCAATGCCACAACACTTCACGGTTGACAGAGTCAAATTCCACCTTCACATCAAGAAATATGGCAGATGTTGGCCTCCCAAGCTCCAGAAGCTGTCAAAGGGTGAAAATCTGGTCGATGTAACCTCATCTCGTTCAGTGCAAAAACCTTTCTGTTTTTCTCTAGCTTTTTTGTTTTTAACCCCCAGTTAGGCACCGGATAATTTTAGAAGCAAGGATTTGCATAAGATATTAAACAAAGTGATTTCCATACAGTTATCACAAGAAGATTTCTCTCTTTTCATACAGACTATAATGATCAGTGAAGTACACCACTCCGAAGAGACAATCTCTGATTCCCATGCACTACCTAGTACTTCCGTTACCTTAATCAGCAATTTCCTACCTCTGTGATTAGGAATGTTGGCAACAAAATGTCAAGTTCTGCTGCTTTGCATCGTTTCAGGTTTGAAATAGCCTTCTCAACTTCAATGAGAGTTGGAAGATCGAAATCTACGTCAAATTCAGGTTCAGGCTAGATGTTGAACGACTGAAGCGTTTCTGTAAGTCATTTGAATTGGGTTTCACAGCGTTCCCCCAAACCTTCCAGACGTCTTGCCTGAGAAGTTATCAGTATCCAATCACTTTCGATTATGGTTCCGCTAAATATCATCCTCTTCTTGCTGGTATCCTCATTAAGACCAAACAACTACCAGGTGATACCCAACGCTGATGCTTCCCCGATCTCTGTTGCTCTGGCAACCCACCATTGCTCGTGATCGACGCGAAGACTCTTGGTCAACTTACTATTAAGCTATCTTCGCTCTCCATTGTGGTCAGAGCCAGCTGGAATCAGTCTTCTCACATTGATCGATTCTGGTGAGGTTTCGGAAATCCAATAAGGTTTTCTATCCTTCGGGTATAGGTTACTTACTGTCTTTGCTGATTTTTATACGGCAAACTTAATATCACACTAGGTCTCCTCAGAATGAGCATCGCTGTCACATTCAGACAGATGCTTAGCTCACCTCTTCCTAAATGCTTATTTGGCGTCCTCATCTTCCATCGAGCAGACAGGCTAAAATGCTACTTGTTTCCTGCAGCGAGTAGAGATCAGGGATACACCAACGCTAACCAACGTCTGATAGTTGTACGACCACATATTCCAGAAAGAACAGCAGTCTTCTGCTTACACTATACAGCGATGACTTGTACCAATATGACCTATTTGTGTCCACAGTTGGCTTGATGTCGGTGGATGCCATGTGAGACAGCGTCTCGCCTTATTGCTTAAAGTTAATGTTGTCCATAAAGCAGTGATTGTCGTATCAAAATTACAACAGGTTGTTACTCTTTCAAGTTCATTGGTAAAGGATTCTTCAGATAACTTCAAGATGCCTTTCCGATTTTTTAAGGTTCCCTACTTTATCGTTAATGTCACTCACTATTATGACTATATCTGAACGTTTTGTTTTCTGTAACGAAATTGACAGCTTTTGATAGAATTCATCCTTTACATCATCCGAACTGCAGTCAGTGGTTGGATAGGCGGAGATTATGAATAGCAATCTGCAATTCTTAAGACCCTGCGTAGCCGTGATACATCCGTCCAATTCATCTGGACAGAGGTGACAGTCAACTACTATCCAGTAGAGTAGTACATTTTCTGCTTCAAAACCTAGTGCAATACCTACTTCTGAAAGACTGCGGCAACTAGCCATCAAATCTTTCGAAACTCGAAATAAGGATTTTACAGATTTAAGATATTGGTGAATATACGCACTTGAGTTTTGTATGTGGATTCAACAAATATAAAGTAAATAGATGGTCTAATGTACAGGAGTTCTCGCCAGCTTAGCCTGTTAGCCGACTTGATGGAGAATGCTGAAAACTCCGATGTACAGAGTGGGGCACGGTTCCCAAAGAACAGTGTTGTTGTTTCGTCAACTGTAATAATTATCTAACACCGGAAAGTCGAAACAAATCAAAGAAGACGTAGGAATTTCGAATGATAGATCTGAAGAAAGATTATAAGGTAAGGATATAGAAGGTGATTAATGATCTGGGAGAACTCGAGAGCTGACAGAATTATAAGGGTGGTTGACACTTGCTACCTGACCTCACCATATAAGGTTACTTCTTCTTGGAATACCTAGAAACTTTTACGTTAGTAAATGCGGAGTGCATAGTACATTCGCTTGAAGTCGGTCTTCAATCAAGACAGGAAACCTACATCACTGGCAAAAGAAGTAACGTCGGACAGAGAGGTGTGCTATTTTTGGGACCGGCCTTTCATAGCAGCCCTGTCCCAGTAACAGCATGATACTGCTCATCATCTGCTGCGAACAGATTGCTACTATCATATTCACATTCAGCCAGAAGTATAACTTCGCCCTGCAACCTCCATCACAGCGTAGCAATTTTCACCACAGAGGTAACTCATTTTTGTCTTACTGCTATCCGTAAAACCTTTTTGGTATGGCAAGGCCTAAACAAAACAAGTTATTTTGACCAGCGTACCTTATTTGACCACTGAGATACGCAAGCCTGATGACCACGTCAAAGTAGAACTCATTGTTCAGCAACGTCAAGTAGACTAACTAAATTGCTCTTCATGACTCAGATTGAGTGGAAAAGGCTCCATGAATCTGTTTTTTGTTTAGTTCTGACCTATCTGAGGCTTTCATGAGTTATATTGCCTATGGCAACCAAATCAACGGCTTCATTTTTGAAAAGCAAATGTAAAGACTTTTATTGAGGAAACCTGGGTCATGATAAATCTCTGAATAATATCCTTAAGGATATTGGTTCGACAGTACTACAGTTTCTTTCCAATAATAATGTTAATAATACCTTATTCTGGTAAATACAAGCACTCACCAATTCGCAAGCATGATTGATTACTGATAACACTTACATTTTGAAGCTAGTACACCTGTGGTGATTTGAAATAATTAACTCAATGTCTAAATAAAGAGAAATGTGGCACAGTGTGAACAAAATATCAAGCTGAACTTGATTAAACTTGTTTTGTTTCAAAATAATGAAAAAGAACTTTTGCTCAGAATGAGAGACAGCTTCATTCATAATGAAGGGTACACAATACTGTGAATATAGATGTGGTGTATAAAAGCCCACAGGTATTCTTGTTTTATTCGGAAAGCTTACCGTCTAGTAGACTTTAACATTGTGGTTGTGATGCTAAATTTATGAAAACCCTTTCTTACAAATCAACCTTTCAGATACTTAGCGTGTGTACTTCACCATAACTTACCGAAACAGATTTGTTAAAGAATGTCACGTGTTGCTTTTGTTATTTATTGCAAATTAGCCTGATTTACTCAGATTCGTATTACTGTAAAATTAAAATTTCCTCGTTTAGTCCTCCTTCGTTTAAGTAGCGGAACATTGGACCAATAAGTCACAAACGAAGGAGTTCTGATTTTCTTTCTGATTTTATTCATAATCATCACTGTCATATATGGATAGACAGATGACAAGTAACTTATCGAAAATGGAAATTCATAACGGCTGAAAAACTACACAACTCCACAGGGAGGAAATAAGCAACAGTACAATGGCTTACGAGAAATAATAGATGCAAATTAGTAAAGTTTTCAGTATCTTAAAGAAGATGGGATCAACATACATTGATTGGTAAGCGAAGAGTTACCAACTTCATGTTAACTAGTCTTTGCAGAACAATGCCAGTAAGTACGAAAACTAAGTTCATGGTTTCCCGGGATTCGACTGCAACTACCTATCCTTCTGTTATGCGCTTTATTTATTATAACTTAAAATATCCAACTATTGGGGGCCAGTATTTCATATATTCCAGTAGCCTAACTACATTACACTTCTATGCATTACTGAGACCAAATATAACCATTCTCATAGACTGATGCCATGGCTTGTCTTTACCTTATTCGTTTAATTAGTTACATTTGCAACTCTTATATTCTCTTTCTTTTACCGAAATTGATAAAAATTAGTCAAATGAATAAACTAATACTACTTCTCTCATTATTGTAAAACATTGAAATTATCAAGAGTTAAGGTTGTTCCCATGGTGATGATGACAGTGACAGCGATAACAAAGCATCAGCATCGACAGAAGATGAATGTATTAGTAGTATGTAAACAGTTAACAAACCAAAACACAAAATAATGCAGAATTATGAGAAAATGTAGTGATAATAATAACAATAATAGCAGTAATTGTAAGTATAAGAATAACAGCGATGGTGTTCAATACTTGACTCCTTTTAAGAAAAAAAATAGACTTCCTCAAAAAATGTTCTAATTTTTCCTTTCATACTTTGCTTGAATGTGTGTTGATGTCATTGTTGCTACTGACGATGGTAATGCTGGAAGTGATATAAACTTTAAAGCCTTAAACATTTTCTTCTCCACTGCTGCCTCATTTTCTTTTTTTTAACTGATGTGAAATTCAGTCGACAATAAGTTGGTGAGATGACAGTTTGAAATTTAATTATGGGTTTACCGTTTCTTGATAAAAATGATCATTCTCATTGTATTCAGTAAAATCACTCTTATTTGTTGTTTTAATTAGTGTTGTCGAGTATAATGTTGATTTACTGAACCTTGGTGACAACGCTTCTAATTTAAGTAACAGAGTATTAGCGAATTTTTCTCTTGACCTCTTATCTCTATGCTTAGTTGATCTATGTTTAGTACAAGTTGTATAGGTATGGTTTTTGAAAGTAAGTAAATCACTATTATCATTTACTTTCTGTATTTTTCATATCTTAGGGTGTTGTTATTTTGATATTCTTATAAAGTTTTTTCACGTACTTGTGTACTAGTTTTGTGGCCGTTGATGAATACGACGATAAAGATGTGTAAGATAATGATGTTGAGATTAATGATGATTGGATCAACGGCAAATTGTTTGATGTTGCGTTGTTCAATGGTTTATGATTTAGTTCAAAAGGAACATCATATTTCCTGTTAATTTCAGCTTCTTCGACTACATCTAAATCATTCTTTGTGCATTCATTATGACCATTCTGTGTTATCAACTTCTTAGTGCTGTTACCTAAATATAATTTTAAACGATTTGTAGTTAAATGAAACAATTTTTGTTTGTGGAACTTAATATTGTCCTGTTCTTTATAGAATTCAAGATGATTACCCTTGCTTATCAGTTTATCGAATTCTTGTTGCTGCTGTTGGTCTTGGCGACCATGGTGGTGGTGCATAATATCATTTGACATAATTTCACCAGGTTCCCTTGACTTTTGAACAATTCATCTATTTCAGAACGTAGTTGTTTCGTACGGCTTAAATATTGCGCTTATTTAAACTATACAGGAATGACTTTGTTTGTGTAGACTTCTTGGCTTTCAAAAGGTCATTAATTTCTCTGTTCGATGTAGATGAATTCTGTTGTTGTTGGACAGGGGGAGGTTGAAGAATTCTAGTATCTCCATTCTCATCTAACAGTTCATTGTTATCCACCACCCGGTCTCTCTAATTTTTCTTTTCCTTCTCTTCATTATCCACTTTTATTCTAGAAAATGTAGTTTATGTTCTCTTCTAACTGATCGAATGAGATAGGTGAAAGATCGTTTATACTCTATACATGCGGTGAACAAATACTTGGGGAAGTTTCCATTATCAGTTATCTATCTGATCTGAAAAAAAATTATTAGTTATTATTTGTCTTCGTTCAGTTTTACTGCACTAAAGATAGTCTCTAAATTGATGCCGAATTGCAGCGTTACCCAGTACCGCCAATCCCATGTAGGTATTGAGTAAGTGACCTAGCTGACACCTAAACATCGGCGTGTGAAATAAAAACTAAAATTAATTTGTCCACCATTACAGCTTTCGCGAACACAAAATGAAACGACGCAAAAATGCAGCAGTTTTACGTGTTTAACTTAAAAATGACTATCTGTTGAATCAAAACTGTGTCAACAGAACAACGTATAATTAATTCTTTTAAATAATGTTTCAGGATAAAACCATTTCTGCAATATACTTCAAGAGGAAAGTTTTGATAGGACAAGAAACTAGTCAAAGAATATTTCAACATAGGTTCTTACATCACTGCCTAACAGTTCAAGTTGGTAACTTCAGATCAGCACATCAAGTCACAAGGCAGGAAGATGAGAGCACGGAAATGGGGAAAAATATTGTCACCACGCGTAGCATGTTATAAGAAGAGAGGTTGACAGAGTAAAGTAGGAAATGATGTGTGATATGATTACAATGTAGACTGTATGGATTTATCTGTGTCAATGTCATGGATTCTCAGTCATATCAACTAGTTTATGTTGGTAAGTCGAAGAGATGAAAACCACCTCCCACAGTTACATCCATTCTCATGACACTGACCAGGAGATTGCAAGCTTAATACCAGGATACCGCTGTACTGTCAAGCGACTAAGTCACCCACATAGCTTCCTCTGCAATTGTGGCCCCATTCAGAGAAACACAGGACGTGTATACGCGTACATTCCGTATGCTTTGGAGTACCCATGCCAGATGGAGGCCATTCCGAAATTACTTGAAATTGTTAACCAATTTCACACAACCTCCTTTTCTATGGTTGCAGTGCTGAGAAGACTGTTCATTCAGCGTGTCATTCAGGAAATGCTTGTCTCAGGAAATGACTGTCGGTTCATGGCATTCAGACTTGATGGCTCGTGCCGGCACAACCATATCTTCCATTCATGAAGCCTACCGTTCCATCGACAATCAGACGGTCAGGTAGAACATATTATGGAGACATTCAAGCTAGAGCCGTTAAAGTGAGATGACCCCAGGTGAAGGTACACAAGGTCTTCTACTGCTTAAGGAACAAAACTCAATCCATTGACACCAGGAGGGATTCCGTGATTGTTGATTGGCTTATCTGCACATAAATGTACACATGTATTTATATATTCATGCATACACATACGTACTTACGCTTTTATTTTTAGAATTCCGGTTTATGCATTATCGATTCGGAAGAGTAATAGATGCATTCTCTATATATATGCATTTCCTTTTTCCTCAATTAGCAGTTGTCAGCTTAGGTTTCGTGTATACGGAGTTCCCAGGTTCACTATGGCATATCCATCCAAAACTAGTGCATTATTCGCCCCGAGTACATACTGTGAATTATAATAATCTATAGCCATTGGTTTTGGTTGTCATATGCACTCTACATGTTTCTTTACTGTTGAGATCAACAGTCGAAATATCCATTGACTGATTACATGTTCCAGTGAGGCTATCTTCGACCTTTGTTTAACTTAAACTCATTTTGGCTAACATAACCCATAGAGGTAGATGGTGACTAGGTACGTTACAGACACACTACCCAACCACCTGCATCGATGAATGTTCATAAGTATGTCCCAACTTGCCTACAACTCAACCACTTCACTGCCTGTTCTCAGTGGGGCATCAAATAAGCCCTTTTCGAATCAAATTTTTGTATTTCGGTGGTGAGAACCTCATACTTATCATTTTTAACTTTCTCCCCAAAGTGTCTATGGTGCGATGTGAGCGTCTTTACACAGCAGAACTATGTTATCTGCATAGTCTAACTTTGGTATAGAGTTTTTGTGATAAGATCAACTCTTATAAGTCAGATGGAAAAGGAGTCACTTCCATACGCATAACTCGATTTCGAGGTCAAAGAACCGAGTCGTTCAAACATTTCTTATTCTGGCCAGCTACTTGGGACAACACGTGGCGGATAGATTCCAGCTTCTTATTTGTAAAAGACCAATATAATATTCTAGAAGTGGATGATACTGTACATGAACCCAGATTTTGCTAGAATAATGGACCTCTGAAATGTGTTTTCATACTGATTGATCAATAGTTTATCACCCCTAGTTGACTTTTAGAACTAATACAACTCCTCCTTAAAGTGGGGTAGTCAGATAATTTTTTTCAAAGTATATATATAATTTTTAGCTTATTAAAATGTGAACATCACTCAATGTACAATGAAAGAATTGCCAGGTGATAAAGTTTAAAATTATAATCAAAAAATTGTCGGGCAGATATATAAGTCCTGGTGTATATGTGACAGGCTATTTCAACTTAGGTTTATTGGCATGTCACTGAACAATAATCAATGTTATGCCCGTCTCAAGGTTTAACTTTATTATATCAACTAGCTTTGGACTGTGACATTTATGTTAAACGAATCGTTATCATTTTGAGATCCATTCAGTACTCAAATTTCCTTTATCTAATATGAATTGGGAGAGAAAAACAACAAGATCAGGGTAATACCATATCGTTCCAATTTGTCTAGCTCTTATCAGTTACTCACACCCTGAAACAAGAACACAAAAGTATCTCAACGAACCTAGTACAATGAAATGAAATCAGGTAACAGAAAAAGATGTGGTGTGGTATGGACTATAAGTAATCAAAGTAGAACTATCATGGAATGCTAGATGATAATTTTAAATTAAATTCAACAGAAATTTAAAAAGAATGAATGATAAAAATGTGCCCTTGGCATTTAGAATAACGTATTACGGTACGGACACTACCGATAGCTGCTACCTTGACGTTGTGGTCGGGCTTGCATATCACAATGATCCAACGAGCTATGCTGCTGGAACGCTTGTTCCCTCGAGGTCCTACCATACCAGAAAGCTCTGTTGGATAGTGGTTAGACGAAAAGCAGTTACCGTTGTGGTGTAAATTACTACACTATGATGGGGGTCTGAGGGCGAAGTCGTACTACTGCTAGCTGGATGAGGTGTGATAGCAGTAGGCTGTTTCCCTTGGATGACCAGCAGTGCCATGCTGATGCTGCCTTCTCAGTGGAAGGGGGGGGGTTATAAAAAGTTGGCCCCAAA